AATGCGAGCCAGGACCTAGTTTTAAAGGACAATGCTCCAGGGCGTTCCCTGCCTCTCTCACACCACCCTCCCCTCACCCTCTCCTTCTCCTTTATTCCCGCATCCCGTCTCTACAGATAGATACTTTATAATATATAATAAAAAGTAATTAATTCTCTCACTTCTGAGCCCTCAGCCCATGTGGCGAAGTGAATGGGGAAGGTAAATTGAATACAATGTGGCATCCTTTAATAAATAATAGTGCACTTGAGACAAAAAAAAAAATGTAATTTGACTGTTTGAAGAAATTAGGGAGGTAATGAAAGGGCCTCTTTTGTGTCTCCAGTGCACTATTTATTTATCTGAAAGGATGCCATTGGTATCAATTTACACTTCCCCATTCACCTTCGCACAGGCTGGAGGGTCAGAAGTTGAGAGAATTAAATTACTTTTTTTATTTTATTTATGAAAGTAATCTATCTGGTAGAGAGGGAGCGGAAAAAGGAGAAGGAGAGGGTGAGGGGAGGGGTGTGGTGAGAGAGGCAGGGAAGCCTCTGGAGCATTGTCCTTTAAAACTAGGTCCTGGCTCGCATTATCTCCAAACGCAGCCACTACACACAACGTCAAACAACAACGAACTCTGGTGCTCTTGGGACGCTGTATGCAAGGAAAGCAGAGGGAGGTGGTGAGGGTTGAGGGAGAGGAGAGGAGAGGAAGAGGAGGAAAGGGAGGGAGGAAGTAGAGAGGATGGAGGAGAAGCAGGGAACGAGTGTTTTCTCCACAAGAGTATGTTAGGAAACATAGTTAGTTAAGATTTTTTTTCGCTCTGCTCTAAGATGCCCTCTGCCTCTACTCTACAAGTCGTGTTTAATGGTAACCTGTGGTTACACTGAGATGTGTACTTTAGAAATCTGAGCTACATCCTGGTGGCAAATGACCTCAGTCACTGAAACAGCAATAAATACTGTATCAGCAACAACCTGGTCGTCCAAAATCACATCAATCTTAATGTCTAGCTGTGTGTATTTTATGTGTGAAAAAAAGTAAGAAAGTAAGTAAGTAAGAAAAAGCTCTTTTATTCCCAAATATGCCTGGCCAGGAGTTTGAGGGATTTTTGGAGATCAACACCACCAGTAGGGAATATAACACTTTATGCCAGAATCTTAATATCTATAAAAGTTTTATTTTACATAGTGTGGTAGTATGGAGGGTATCCCAGCAGCAAATGTTTTTTTACGAGCTAAATGTGAACTAAAGCAATGTGACTAGCTAAAGTAACACTTGAATGTGATTCTGAAAGAACTTTATGGCGACATTCAAAGTAGAATTAAAAACTGAAACCCAAGGATAACATCAGAGATGTGGTCTGAAGAACTAGTCCAGACAAGCTTTGGAAGTCGTGTAGAGGCTGAAGTGGCTTCTTCCACTCAAATCCGACCCGGCACCTTTATAGATAGATTCACTCTAATCTGTACCTTCATCAGATTGGGAGGATTGGAAGTCCAGATTTTATTTAGCAGGTGTGAGCAAAAATACAACTTGCACGCTAACAAAAACCTTATAACTAGAAGAGTTTACCTTTTCCCCTCTAGAAAACCCTTAAATCATTAAGACAGGATCCTCTCTTCTTTTCTTTTTCTTTCTTTTTTTTTTTTTTTTTTTTTTATGAAGGATAGCTACATCCTCACAGATGACAACAATTGTCAGACTCATAAGCGCCGATCCCTCCTAAATTCACTAAAATAGCATAAACTGCAGCAACGTCATGATAAGAAGTCATTTTCTTTTGAAGAACTTTTATGAGCATTGAAGAGTAATCGAGCCATTGTTTGGCTATTCTTGTTTTCCATAAGGAAGCGATGTAATCGAGCTTCAATTAACCAATGAACTAAAAAATGGACTCTTGCCTCCAGCTGTCTCACTCAGGACACTTAACAAGCCACCCACCCCCAACCCACCCCTTTCACTTTCACCATCACAAACAATCAGGGTCACACTCCTCATCTCCTCAGAGTGTGCAGCTCGGCTTCCATATGGGAGGGAGCATCACATGTGTCCCCAGCATGAAGAGGGCCATGAATCTCCCTCTTAATGGATACATGTCACATGCTTTGTCCTGCAGATGTGTTGACAGGGGACGATGGGGGTTTTCCATCTGATGAATTAGCATGTGGAAATGACTCACAGACCTTTATGTTTCTTGATGTTGATTTGAGTGCTTCGTTAATTTCCTGGGAAGGCCTTTTCTAAATGATATGATTAATTTGCAGAAATATGGTTGATTTTCCTCTGTGGGATATTCTTGGCTAGTGCATCATTTGTGCACTGTTTGGGCTTGCCTGCATTGGCCTAATGGTTGTGTCATATGTGTGTGTGTGTGTGTGTGTGTGTGTGGTGTGTGGTGTGTGTGTGTGTGTGCATGCATCAAAACATATGTCTGCATGTGTATCACCCCTGTGTAACCACCTCCATGATGGGGGCTAATTGGTTTGCAGCAAGGGGCCAAGGCCCAGTGGCAGCAGAGAAACTCAACATGAACTGATGTTGAAAGAGGTTTCCCTGCAATAGAGGGAAGCAATGTGTGGGACAATTTCTTTTTTAACACCCCTCCCACACACATACCACACACACACACACACCACACACACACACACACACACACACACACTCGCCACTTTCCCTTCTTCATTTAAAGAAACTCGCAAGCACAAGAAAACAAAATCCTCACAGCGTTCAGGGCCGCTGCGCTTCAGACTAGAGTAAGCACCAATTAAAGAGGTAATCTCTTCCATTTTTAACATATTTTGAGATTTTTCCTGACGAAATGTCACAATGCTTATTACTTAATCTTAGAATAATTGAATTGGAAGCTTTTATTGCACTATGAATAATATAACACTGTAATATTCAGGCGAGCCCCAACCTGCAGTATCAGCGGGCCCCTCAGTGGAGGTTTGTGGAGCCTACTTTGTGTGGATCTGAGGGGATCATTTACAAAGTTCCAACTCATTTACTTATTTCATGAGATGGGTAGGCTAGGGGCGAGGATTAGGGACTCTTGGTGCTTGTTTGTGCTGTGGCTCAGGCTCAGGCCTCAGCTCCGGGACAGGGCCTGTCTGGCACGGATGGTGGGTCTATTATCACTGGGACGCCTTCTGGTCCCAGCAGCAGAACACTTACGGCAGCGCCAGCTAAGGAACAGTCCCTCTCTTGTTCGCTTTCTCCTTTTTTTAACCTCAATCAACCCTCCTTTGTAATCCTTTACCCTGCTCTTAAAAAACAAAAAAAAAAAACGATGGGGAAGTTTTTCCCATTCCCTATTTCCAAAGTTGATGTAATGGTGTATTTCCTAATCGAGCATCTTTACCGGTGAAGTGCTAGGATGGCACTATAATTTGCAGAAGAAAAAAAAGTGCTCTCCCTCACTTCTGTCAATGCTTTGATCCTCAATTTTCCAATTTCTTAACATCCTCCGTTTCCACTTTTACCCAGGTGATGAGTATCCTGAGTAACCCAGCGCGTACCCTCCCAGCCCCAGCACGCCTTTTCCATTTCCCCCTGCACAGCAGCCTGGAGAGCTCCAACCGCATCTCAGCCAGCTGCAGCCACAGCGCTCTGACACCATCAAGAGTGTGGACAGCCTGGCTTCCTCCCAGTCAAACTGCCCCCCTACCTACAGCGCCACCAGCTACAGCGTGGATTCCTGTCACCGCAGGCTTACCAGTACAAGCCAGTACGGCCAGAGTAAGTAAAACCATTCATTAAGCATTTTATATAACTGAGTGGCTTTTTGTCTTTTCGTGTGTCCAAACGAGAGCAGGTCATTCTGTTTCTATCTCCTTTTAAGGTTGACTACATTTAAAAAGCCTATTGAAGTGATGCCTACTTCCAGGCAGGAGAGCCCTCCTGACCTTGCACCTGGTTGGTCAAGGCAAGAACACGTGCTCTTGATAAAGACCCCCCCACCAACACACACATCACACAACACACACCCTCACCCCACACCAACACGCACCACCATCCTCCTAGAAGGCGGCCCTCGGTCACACCCACTCCACTTGGATGGGTAAGAGGAGAGGACGCACTTCAAAGAACGGCAAACACCCTCAGGGCCCACAGTGTCCTCTTGCCACCTCTCGCTTTCCTCTTTCTCTCGTCTCCATCACACACACGACAGACACACACACACACTACTCATGCGCACACCCTCAGGGCAGGAAAAGAGTTTTGCTTTATTAGATTAGCATATTGACTGATGCTGTCACAGCATTCATAAGAGGTAAAATGAAGCACACTTCCCAACAAGCCAGCCAGGCCAAGCTAGCC